AAGAGGTGCCACCGTTTCACTTACAGTCTCCATGGCCTCGGGCCACGCTGCCCTGTCCCTCAGAGTGGGCCTACAGCTGTTGTCACAATGGAGTTAGGTCGCTAATGTGAGAAGCGACCTCATTACGAGGGTCTGTTTGTAGCTAGAAAATAACTGCATGGTGACGAATGGGCGGCCGCGAAGTTACAGGAAGCTGATCATTTCCGAGATGAAACGTGAGCTCCTTTGGTCCTGCAGCTGGACGTGCACATGTCCTGTTCACATTACACTCAGTGGGGTTTCCAGGCAGAAGAAACTGGGTGCAGAACCCCAACTCTGTGCCCCTGGCTTTGCTCTCTGGGCGTAGGACAGGTGTAGAGTAGGGGCACGCCTCGTGTGTCTAGGGTGCTGCATTAGGACGTAACTGACGGGGGGCAGTCACCCCAGGGGCCCTCCCCGAGGCTGCCTTTGCTGGAGGGGGCTAGCTCTGTCCCTGGCACGGTGATCAGGAGGTTGGGCTCCCGACTAGACACTGAGGTCCCTCCTCCAGCCCCAGACCAATCCTGGCTCACGAGAAGGAGCCTCTAGGCCTGGGGATCCCTCAAGCACCCTAGCGGGTCACCTCGAAGGCAGCAACAGCCAGGCACCTGTGCTGGAGGCGGCCTCTCGGGGTGCCCCTGGGGTGACTTCCTATGTGAGCCCTTGACACGTAATAGCTGCTTAGTAAACGCTCTAGGGTCACACCCCGCTCCCCCCAGCAGCTCTGCTGATACCCCTCCACCAAATTGCCTTGATCAAGGATCACACTCTGGTGCCGCACATATAGATATTTTCCGCCCCGACTTCTTTTCAACCCAGTAGTGGAGGAGATCCCCTGACTTAATGCAATCAGGCTTCTACGTTAATGGACTTGCTATTCAAGTCCAATCAAATAATTACATACATTTTGGGATCTTGGACATGCAGAGAGACCTTAGGGCAGGGCTGGCTGACAAAGGAGGTGGAGCCCTCAAGATGAAAATGGAAACTCTGTGTGTCACAGAAGGACACCCCCCCCCCCCCCCCCCTGCTCCCCGTCGGAAGGGCTCTAATTGCAGCGGGCAGATCGAGCAAGGCCGCAGCTGCAGCACCAGCCCCGTGCCATTCCTGCTGCCACGTTAGCCCCAGTAAACCCGACTGGAGCTGACATCACAGACCGTTAAAATTTTATCAATTGCACTATGATTAATCCCCCAGTACACTGCCATGACTTAAATATTTAGGATGTTTCTTCTGTTATGACTTTAATGCATGTAAAGTAACAAGATTAACTCCAGGACCCTCGGAGAGATTTAAATAGGGATCCATCTCGGGCTGGAGGCGAGGCCGGCTGTTAGGAGTGACTGAGCTGAGAGCCGGTGTCAGGCCCGATTTGTGTGACCCGTGCTGGGCGCTGGCCCGTCCCCAGTGCCGGCTGGCTGCCTGCTGTACCGCGGCTGGTGGCTCCCCTCGTCTGGCATGGAAGACACTTCCCGACTCTCCTCACTTGCGACTCACTCGTGCTTTATGGCTGTGTGTAATTTTCTGATTCTAAAATAAAAGCTCTCCAACAAAAATTACTATGCATTAGGCCGCGGTAGCCTACTCAAATGGATATTAATACAGTTTATCTCTAAAAGGACGAATAATGTATTTGAAACAGATAAAAGGCCCTTCAGTAAATGAGGAATGTTAATATCTTATGGCATGGTTAATAAAGAGATATTTCACAAGGGAGATTGTTTTATGACTTTTGATACAACAGCCTTGTAATCTGACATATCTTAAATGATATAATTTTGCACACACATTCATCTCTTTTATACGCAGCAGCGGCCCATCCGAGTAAAATTTGAATTCAGGGCAAATAATGGGTGCTAATTACTTTTGTGGGGATTTGTTACAACACTTGGACCCGGTGAAGCCCCACTGGAAGTCCAGGCAAGAAGTTGGGAGCTTTGAAATCCGTTTTAAAAAAATGGATTTCCCCTCCCCCATCTGCGGAAAACAACATTTGTTTTTGTTGTGTTTAAAGACAAGAGTTTAAATTAATTGAACCCAGTGACACATGTTTGGAGACTGAGCGTGCTTCTAAATAATGCTTGGGATAAATTGCTCAGGAACCAAAGTACATTAATTTATGGTTCTCCTGATGTTGACAGCTGGGAGGGCGGGCGGGGGACCCACAAATATTAACATAAAACAAATCTGCTTTATTCCTCTTCATATTTCTTCTTCATCCTGACTCCCGCTCACCCAGAGCTTGTGCTCTAATTATCCGCGAGGTCGGTAAGCAAAATTGGGAAGAAGCTAGAGATCAATACAAATTATCCCGGAGCAAACCGGTGCTGACAGTTGGAATTGCAGCATATGTTTACCCAAAATCAGGCAATTTATCTTAATATCAGCAAAGTAATGCGCTGCAGGTGAAAGGTCATACAATCTCCCCCCTCATAATTACCCGGTTCTAAAACAGGAAAGTGCTATTGATTGGCCGGCTCGGCCCCGGGCCTGGACGTGCGGAGCCGTGCCCTGGCTGGGCTGGCTCTGGGCTGGGAAATTCGACACACTAAGGGTTTATCACATGAGAGCAGAGGCCCTCAGCTCTCTCTTCGGCTTGAGGTGGGCCAGTGGGGTCTCCCTGTCCTCGTGCTGGTGGGCTGTGGGCTGTAGAGGCCACCGGTGGCCCTCAGGGAGGGCAGTGGCCGAGGAAATGGGCCAGGATGTCACAGAACCAAGGTGCTGACTCTGCTCAGCGCAGCTGCTGTGGGAGCCAGGGAGACGAGAGAATGACCCCACCGCCCTGGGTCCCCAAACCCTGGAAGATCCACAAACCTGAGTCTCCTCTGTCTTTCTCCTTCTAGAGTCTAAAGAGGTCCATGTTTCCAGGGATGCACATTGGGCTTGTGGGAGTGCAAATCCAAGAGGGGACTGGAGAGCAGGACAGCAGCTCAGCCCCCACCCTAAGACATGCACTGGTGCAATCCCTTGTTGTTCCAGCTTTAAATGCAATGTGTTCCTATTCGTGGCTATGCTCAAGACATGCATTCTTTGGGCTGAGGCAAGAGGTGAAAGGTCCCCTCCTGTTTCCACTGTTCCCCTTCCTGTGCTCTGGTTAAAGAGGGAGAGCATCAATTCTCCTGAAACCTTGGAGAACGTGTCTCTTGGAATGAGAGTGTATGGTTATTACAAGTCATAAAGCTTCGGAAGAGCTTGCATTAAAACCTCTTTCACCTGTCAGGGGCATTTGCATGAAATCAATAGTGGCCAGCCATCTATCTTTTCTGATCACCTTTCGTCAGGGCGGATCCAGAGAGCCCAGCAGTGGGGGTGATTAGCTGAGAGGGAGGAGAAACCCTGGCACGTTAGAAACGGCACTGTGCACAGCCGCATTTCCCATTCCCTGTTGAAGAAGGGTAATACTTGATCTCTTCTTTTTGGGAAAGGATCTCCTAGGGGGACTAGCAGGGGACCCATCGCCCTGCTGCCCACCCTGGACTGGTGCCTGCCTCCTCGCCAAGGCCTGGGCAGAGACATGACAAATTGTCCCCCAAGTCAGGGCTGACAGGCTCAGATGATTAATGGTCTGATTATGAAGTGGTTTTACACATATAGAATTTACATCACAGACAGTTAGGAGTTTTGCCATGTCACACACGCCAGGCCGTTCTGAAGAGCTATACTGTTTGCAAAGAGGAGAAGAAAAAAAAAAAGAGGGCAAAATCCCAGCAAAAGCCATGTCATGTAAAATCGATATGCTGGATCAATGCTTTATTAACAAGAAAATGTCTTACTTCACATTCCTGTCTGGACCTTTGTCTCTAAGACACATGATAGAATGTCAGCCCATGTCGTGGGCCTCAACTTTGGGTTGTGGATGTGGCTGGGTCCTCGCGGGCAGCCAGCGGGACGCGCACCCGCTCCAGGACGGTGGCAGTCGGGTGTTTTGGAGGGCCCATTGGAAGGCAGCCCCTCACCTCGCCGGCCGCCTGGCCGCGCCCCTGCCCTCTGCAAGCCCGCTGGGTTGTGTGGTGTTAATCATCAGATTACATGCTGACTAATGAGTGTTGGTCCAAATTGCGGGCTGGGTAATGAATAGATGGCGGCAGGTCTTATTAGTCTCAGAAAAGCCCTGATTTATGTCGCGCCGCGCGCTGTGGAGTGACTCGGCTGAAAGCGATATCTACATCAAGAAGTAATGTACTCTAATAAGTATTTTCATCCGCGCGTCCTCGGCCTGCGGGCTCCGTTTCTGTTGGAGTCAGGCAGAGCCGTAATAGAGCCGGTGACTCCTGATAAAGCTTGTTAAACACAGGGTGTGCGTGGGACGCAGGCCTGCCGTGATTCATGGACTGGACGCGGAGCAGGCCACTGATTTATGGCCAAGCGCAGTTCATAGTCAAAATTACAATTTGAAGGATAAAAAGATTAATTACTCTGGGTGGCCAGCAATTTCGCCGGGCTGCTGGATTGCAGCTGTGGAGCCACGGCGTCCCTCCATCAGCTTGTGGCCAGCTAGTCACAGATTATTAGAGCTTTGCAAGAGTAAGTGCCCGCCTGGCCGCCCGGCTTGAGCTCAGGCGATATGCTGGCCAAAAAAGGACCGCGGGGATAAATCGAAAGCTTGCAGTAGCAGGGCATATGTCATAATTGCGAGTTTCCCATAAATCCTTGGCCAGCGAGGAAGACGCAGTGTGTGGAGGCTCCAGGGGATGAGGGTGGTGGCCACGGTCCACACGGCCTGGGGATCTGGGACTGAGTGGAGGTGCTGCCATTGTGGCGATGGGTGGAGGGACCCTTTGATTTTCGTCCAGTCTGATTATGGATTAGAAATGATCGTTGCTGTAAGGTGCCAATGTAAGGGAGGAGGCCTGCCTGTATCTAAAGACAGAGCTCACGTGCGGGGTCTGACTGGACATGGGGCTCAGGGAGGAGATGGACGATAAGTGAGTGTGGGCGATGGTGGAAGCGTGGGGAATCTGACTGTGTGTGTCCCATTGCAG